TCGGGGGTCATGATGGAGCCAACTAGTGAAAGTTAGGCAAGCCAATTAGTCCAATTATTTAACCTTTTTTTATTTTTAATCCCTTAGCAATTCCAAAACAACATAACAAAAGCAGCGAAAATAATAATAATAAAACAGTGCGGAAGACAAAATTTGATATTTTAGATTAATACAAATTGCGGAAGTCTAAGTACAACTCTACCCAATATTTGGTGTCACAATATTACGAACTATCTATGAATACTACAAATAAAATCTGAGCAGAAATACACAAAATTTGTCTCTAAATAAGTAAAAACAGAAGGAAATGATAGAAGGATACGCCAAGGCATGAGGACGCCTGCAGGACTACCTCGAGTCGCCTGATGGACTAAAGACAGCGACCTCAATGTGGTCCAAAAGATGCAACACCGAGATCTGCACACAGTGCAGAGTGTAGTATCAGCACAACCGACCCCATGTACTGGTAAATGCCTAGCCTAACCTCGGCGAAGTAGTGACGAGGCTAGGACCAGACTACCAAATAAACATGTGCAGTTAAATCATATACATCAGAAAATAAAGGCAGAAATGTCCAGTTAAAGATAGGAGGGGGAAACATGCTGCGGGGAACATCAAGTAATAACAGAAGAACAACAAATAAATATAAGGAACACCAAAGTTCAATTATCAACAAGAATCAGAAATAAAAGACAAGTGCACGGCATCACCCTTCATGTTTTTACTCTCGTCCTCAACATAAAATCAATAAAATCGGCACTGCATCACCCTTTGTGCTTTTACCTCACATAATCATGGCACGGAAGGATCCTTCGTGCATTATCACTCGTATCATGGCACGGAATTGTACATCGTGCGGCACGGTATCATCCTTCATACTTTTTCCTCACAATATCGGCACGCCATCACCCTTCGTACATTAACACTCTCAAAATCATACATGGCATCACCCTTCGTGCTTTACATTCTTCCTCCCCCAAGCAACAATCACAAAGCAATTTGGGCAAGGGATTCAATAATATTTCAATCCAATCCTGGCAAGGGAATAGTAGCATAACGACAATATCCCCGCAAGGGAAAACAATGTCATGAATAACAACGTCCCGACAAGGGAAACAATACCAAAAACAATAACATCCCGGCAAGGGAGACAATATCATAAACCTCTCCTCTTTTCCATATTTACCTCACAACTCAATTCACAACTTGAGCCAATGCTCTATAATGTTCAATTGCCAATAATACTTCCACAAATTATTTTACAACTTGAGCCAACGCTCTTCAATGTTCAATTACCAATAATACTTTCACGAGCCTTGTTCAACATTAGAATCATCATATAACGCATGAACAAGACGAAACAGAGTCAAAAAAATCATAGTATGAGACTCACGGGCATGCTTGACACCAACGTATAGATACTCGTCACCATGCCTATATGTCGTACTCAAAAATTAACACATAGCAAATAAGATACGACTCTTAATCCCTCAAGCTAAGGTTAGACCAAACACTTACATTGATGCCACAAACACAATTCAAGCCTCAACTACCGCTTTACCTCTTGTTTCTACCACCAATTCGCTTGTATCTAGCCACAATTTACTTAACGATATCAATAAATGCTAAATGAATCAATTTTAATGCGTGAAAATAGGTTTTATAAAGATTTTCCCAAATAGTCAAAAAACGACCCCGGGCCCACATGGTCAAAACCCGAGGTTCGAACCAAAACCTGATTACCCATTCACCCAAATATATAATTTGTTTTGAAGTTGGACCTCAAATCAAGGTCCAAATCCCCAAAATTTGAAAAACCTAAGTTCTACCCAAAACACCTAATTTCTCCCATGAAAACCCTTGATTTTGAGTTGAAATCGTGTAAAAAGATGTTATAGATTAAAGAAAATGAGTTAGAAATGACTTACATTTGGTTTGGAGATGAACTCTTCTTTAAAAAATCGCCCAAAAGTGTTTAGGTTTTGAAAAGGTTTGGAAAATGCTGAAAATGTGTCTAAGTCCCAATTAACTGGTCTCTGATATCGCATTTGCGACCATTCAAAAATCTTGAAGGCTTCGCATTTGCGAGACATCTGTTGCATTTGCGACTCTGGCCCTTTCGCATTTGTGATAAAATGGTCGCATTTGCGATCAAGTCCTGCCCAGACCATCTTCGCAAATGCGATACTACTTCACAAAGGCGAGCTCGCATTTGCGAGCCAGGCTTTGCAATTGCTAAGCCTGCAGACCTGCAACACACCAGCAATTTTTCTAAGTCTAAATTCACTCCGTGGCCTATCCAAAACTCACCCGAGCCCTCGGGGCTCCAAACCAAACATGCATGCAAGTCCAAAAATATCATACGGACTTGTTCGTACGATCAAATCATCAAAATAGCATCAATAACTATGAATTTAGCATCAAAATCAAAGAAAAATCTCATGAACTCTTAAGTTCCATTTTTTAACAACCGATGGTCTGATTCATATCATATCAAGTCCGTTTGTTACCAAATTTTACTAGCTCAACTCAAATGCTATATAAGACCTGTATCAGGCTCCGGAACTAAAATACGGGCCTGATACCATCAAATTCAAACACATTCCAATTTCTAAAACTCTTATAATTTCAGTTAAACAATTTCTTTCAAAAATTCATTTCTCAGGCTTAGAACCTCATAATTCAATTCCGGGCATACGCTCAAGTCCCATATTTTCCAACGGATCCTCGGGGACCGTCGAATCATGGGTCCGGGTCTGTTTACCCAAAATGTTGACCGAAGTCAACTTAAATTTATTTTCAAAGAAATATTTATTATTTTTCACATATTTTCACATAATGGCTTTCCGGATACAAGCCCGGACTGCACACGTAAATCGATATGAGATAAAAAGGAGGTTTTAAGGCCTCGGAATACAGAATTGTTTCCAAAACAAGTAATGATCTTTTGGGTCATCACAATGGTGATTTCTTGTATCACTGGTAAATATTCTCCATACTTTTGTAGAACATTTCCTTATTGAAATATTCCATGCTATCTCCTTTAATCTTCTGATTTCTTTCCTTTTGTTTTTCTTGTACTAATCTTCTAAAGTTCTTTTATAAATATTTTCCATATCTTCTTTGATACATTTTGAAACTATCTTCCAGCAAGATAAACCATCCCAATAAAACTCAGTAATATCCTCCATAAAATTAGTATGCATTTCAGATATTTCCTTCCTCAACTTTGTTGTAAATCACCATCATTCTTTCATCTGCTTTCCATAATAAGCTTGTACTAATAAAATAAATTTATCACAAGTAAATGTTCTTTGATTAAACCTTAGGTTGGTTTGGTATCATCAAAATTCGTCTATGAAACCTTGGGGCTAACACTCGACTCAAGAATTAACTTACTACTAAAAAACAAAAATTGGTGACGGATAAATTCTGTAGCTAAACAGAAAAATCTATCACTAATCCTATTTAGAAACGAATTAATAACTATTTAGCGATAGATTAACGACAAACTTAGTAACTAATTTCATTTTTTCGTAGTAACTTTGTCGCTTTGTCAAAGGTTAATCAGTGGTATCTTAACATATCTTTGAATGTCTCTTTTTTCTATGAACTATACTTGGATTTTTTCATATGCCTTCGGATTTTACTAAAACATCAAAAAGGGTAGTAATTGTTCTTCCCATTAAATATGTGGGATTCTTAGGACATCATAAGTCGCATAGTAGACAAACTCACATGGGATCAATATTTCTTGCTATCTTCATTGTCTGACCCATAAACCATCTCTTGTACTCCCTTTGTTTCAAGAACTTAAGATATTTATATATTTATCAAATTGTTATAGNATATATATATTAATTTTTCCTAGTTGGGATAAATCTAGTTTATTTTTCCAACAAAATCAAAATGGTATATTGATACAGAATTAATAAGTATACAATCGAATATTGATTCTATTTGGCAGAAACTATAGAAGCCATGCATGAAGTAATGTGAGCAATCGAATTAGTTGTAAAGGTGTTTGCTTTGAGTAATAATGATCTGAAGCTAACCCACATTACCAATCTAGGAAGGAAAGAGCCCTAAATTATTAATTCCTTTACGTACAAGTTACTAGCCATGCATGTTGTGACTCACCGTTTTGCCATGTTCAGTCTGGAGTCAGACGACATCTTTTTCGATTCATTTTATTTTCTTGGCTATGTTTCTTTCAGGATTCAATATTAATTATACGCAGAGGCAGACCCAGGATTTGAAGGTCGGGGGTATACTTTTGCATTCAACCAAAATGTATTTTGTATATAGGGTGTCACTACTAATATATTAGCATTTTCTAAAAAACACATACTCTTGTATTCACGAAAAGTTTGGCGAATTTTTTGGGTGCCGGTGACCCCTTATTTGATAACATAAGTCCGCACCTCTGATTATACATATGGGTCCTGACGGATAGAATTTTAACTTTATGGGTTCTGGATTCTAGAACGACAATTTAAATGCTAACAATGGGTTTTAAACTTAATATTTGTATACATTTAATGAATTTCTTAACATAAATACACTGTTTGAGCAAATAATATTGGGTTCAGCCGAATACCGGGCTTCTAGCTCTACCCCTGAACCTTAGAAAATAGCACCTTTCTTCATTATGGGTCTTCCCCTTAGTTCGAAGCTACTCCAATGTTCAAGGAAAGGTACACCATAGAAATAAAGATTAAGCACTTTGAAAAGTGTTGTGTCCTAGATTTATGGCTAAGTGATACAACATCTTCATTTTAGAAGCAGCAAGATAAAATATATAGACAAAGAAGAGAATATTGAGTTCTTTTAACTAACTTAGACTTAGTAGAGAAACATGTTAAAGGAAACTTACAAAGGAAAAATGCAATTATGAGCCCCCAAATAATAGGCTTAAATTTCTCCTTCATCAAGAAGTATAAAATAGGAGATGTAGCAATGGAAATTTCATCACTTATTCAACTCAAGTACTTAGAACAATTAGAGAGTGACTAATATAATGGCTAGATCAACAGCCCACTTAGTTGTGGGTTTGGGAATTTTGTTGCTAATGTTAGTAGCAATGGTAGAGGCAACTCCCCCTGGAATAGCTGATCATCCAAGCCATTCTCATTGCTCAGATGATGAGATAAAGCAATGTAAAAATCTTCCACATGTTTGTCCTAAATTTTGTCCCAATGGCTGCATAACTGAGTGTCGATCTTGCAAGCCTATATGTATTGATGGCTCAGTGCCGCCTCCTGATGATCATGGTTCGTCAAAACCTCCACCATCATCTCCTCCAAAGGAAAAAACTCCGTCATCCCCATCTCCTCCCAAGGAAAAAACTCCACCATCCCCATCTCCTCCTAAGGAAACAACTCCACCACATTCACCTCCTCCCAAAGAAAAGACTCCACCACATGATGGTGATGATCACGATCATGATGGTGATGGTGATGATCATGATCACGATGGTGATGATCACGGTTCAGGATCTAACACTGGCCCACCTCCACCACCTTCATATCCTCCCAAGGAAAAAACTCCACCGTCTCCTCCTAAGGAAACAACTCCACCACATTCACCTCCTCCCAAAGAAAAGACTCCACGACATGGTGGTGATGATCACAATCATGATGGTGATGGTGATGATCACGGTTCAGGATCTAACACTGGCCCACCTCCACCACCTTCATATCCTCCCAAGGAAAAAACTCCACCACCCTCATTATCACCCCCGTCTCCACCTAAGGAAAAGACTCCACCACATGATGGTGATGACCATGATCATGATGGTGATGATGATGACCACGATCATGATGGTGATGACCATGATCATGATGGTGATGATCACGATCACGATGGTGATCATGGCTCAGTATCTCCTCCTAAGGGATCAACTCCGCCACCATCTCCTCCCAAAGAAGTAACTCCACCACCATCTCCTCCCAAGGAAGCAACTCCACCACCACCATCTCCTCCCAAGGAATCAACTCCACCACCTCCCAAAGAAGTAACTCCACCACCCCCCTCTCCTCCCAATGAAGAAACTCCACCATCCTCAACTCCTCCTAAGGAAACAACTCCACCGCCTTCTTTGCCACCCTTATCTCCTCCTAAGGAAGCAACTCCTCCACCCTCATCAGATTCTAATTCTGCTCCACCTCCCGATCAATCTGATTCTTCAGGTGACCATAAATATCCTCCCCCAACTCCTTATTCTCCTCCTCCTCCTCCACAGGACACAACTCCACCTTCATCTTCACCACTGTCACCACCATCTTCTCCTCCACCACCCTCATCTGGTTCTTCTCCTCCTCCTCCTCCTCCTCCTCCTCCACAGGAGACAACTCCACCTTCTTCTTCACCACCGTTGCCACTATCTTCTCCTCCACCGCCATCATCTGGTTCTCCACCTCCTCCTACATATCCATCACTCACTCCTAAGCCACCCACACCAAAGAAGGTCAAGTGCAAGAACAAATACTACCCCAGTTGTTATGCTGTCCAACATGTATGCCCAAGCTCTTGCCCTACAAGTTGTCAAGTTGATTGTGTCACCTGCAAGCCCGTTTGTAGTAAGTTATTACTCCATCAGTTTCAATTGATATGTTTTACTTTTTTAGGAAGTGTCAAGAAAAGAATGCCTCTTAAAACTACAATATATTCTTAAAGACACTTCCTTATAAAAATGATATTGTATATTTAAAACCACAAAATTCTAAAGATATTTTTAATAATTATACACACTTTTAATTTAATACCACAAGATTTGAAATTTTTATTTACATTCTTAAACTTCGTGCCTAATCTGAAGCAAATAAAATAAATAGAAGGAGTAATTTCCTAATTGTTTTTTCAATAATCCCTTTATATTTTTTTCTCCCTAGTTTATGTTAAAACTAAACTATGCATTATATTTACCAACTTTTATTTGGGACGCAGAGTGTGACAAGCCTGGAGCAGTTTGTCAAGATCCACGTTTTATTGGTGGAGATGGAATTACTTTCTACTTCCATGGCAAGAAGGACAAAGATTTTTGCTTAGTCTCAGACCCTAAATTCCACATCAATGCTCACTTCATAGGAAGAAGAAATGAAAACATGAAAAGAGATTTCACTTGGGTACAATCTATTGGTATCCTTTACGATACTCACAAAATCTCAATTGGTGCACTAAAAACATCAACATGGGATGATTCTATCGATCGTCTCGCTCTCCACTTCAACAATGAAGCTATATTCCTTCCTGAAAATGAAGGTGAAAGATGGCGATCTGAAACTATACCTATGATCTCTATTACTAGAATCAGTAACACTAATGACGTTGTCGTCGAAGTTGAAAATGTTCTCAAGATCACAGCTAAGGTTGTGCCTATAACACAACATGAATCTCGAGTTCATAACTATGGTATAACTAATGATGACTGCTTTGCTCATCTTGAACTAGGGTTCAAGTTTGTTTCTTTAAGTGATCAAGTGAGTGGTGTTTTAGGGCAAACTTATAGGAAAGATTATGTGAGTAAAGTTAAAATGGGTGCTCTTATGCCTATAATGGGAGGTGACAAAAATTTTGCAACATCAAGTCTTTTTGATGCTGATTGTCCTGTGGCTAGGTTTCAAGAATTTGATAAGGGTTTGTTGAATTTGGATTTGCCAAGTTTGAGCTGCAGTAGTGGGATTTATGGACGTGGAGTTGTATGCAAGCGTTAGAATTATTTTCCAATAGAATGGAGATTCAGTAATAAATGGTGATTTTTATATCAAAATAAGGTTGTAATCCAATAGAATGGAGATTCATTAATACATGGTGCTAAACAGTAAAATGAGTTTGGACCAAAAAAAGAAATGTTATTATATATGTCATATTCTTCCAATAAGATTTTGTTGCTTTCAAAAGTTAATAATGTTCTTTTCCAAATTGATAGAAATATATAACCATCGTTTGTGATTAAGAATGCATTCTCCCACTTTAAGAATTATACAGGGCGCCAAGATCCGGATCGCCTAAAATTTTGTCAGTCCATCAAGAACGACCTAGACAATAATAGTCATCGCCTCACTATAACTATGAGTCATTTTTTGGCGTTTTAGAGCCATATAGCTAGAATTGCGCCTGATTCCCATATTTTCGTGCTATAGCCCACGCCTTCTTCATGGGCCCAGGCCTCTGGACATGGATCGCCTAAAGTTTTTCTAGACTATCAAAAATTACCTAAGGAACAATAGTCATCGCCTCACCATGACCGTACCTCATTTTTTGGCGTTTTAGGGCTATAAAACTGGAATTTCGCCCGTTTCCCAAATTTTCGTGTGCTATAGTCCACGCCTTCTGCGTGGGCCGAGCGTCCGGATCCAGATTGCCAAAAAAAATTTCAAACCATCAAAGACGATAACCGTTGCTCTTTTTTGGCGTATTAGGGCCACAAAACTGGAATTCTGCTCAATCCCCAAATTTTCGTGTATTATAGCCCACCCCTTCTACAGAGGCCTAGGCGCCCGAACCCGAATCACCTAAAATTTGCGAGACCATAAAAATGACCTAAAGAACAATAGTCACTGTCACACCATGACCGTTCCTCTTTTTTAGCGTTTAGGGTCATAAAACTAGAATTCCGTCTGATTCCTATATTTTTGTTTGCTATAGCCCAAGCCTTCTGCATAGGCTTAAACGCCTAAACCCGAATGGCCTACAATTTTGTCGGACCATAAAAAGCCCAAAGGAATAATAGTCAATGCCTCGCCAGGACCTTTCCTCATTATTAGAGTTTAGGACCATAAAACTGGAATTCTACCTAATTTTCAGATTTTCGTGTGCTAAAGCATACGCCTTCTATATGAGCCAGGGGGTCCGAACCCGGATCACCTAAATTTTGCCGGACCACCAAAAACGACCTAAGAAATAATATTCAACGTCTCGTCATGACCGTTACTCGTTTTTGGCGTTTTAGGGCCATAAAACTAGAATCCCGCTCGGTTTTTAGATTTTCGTGTGCTACGCCTCTACATGAGCCCATGTGCCCGAACCTGGATAGCCTAAATTTTTCGGACCTTCAAAAACGACCTGGGGAATAATAATCACAGGCTCATCATGACCGTTCCTCATTTTTTGGTATTTTAGGGCCATAAAACTGAAATTTCGCCTGATTACTACATTTTCGTATGCTATAGCCAACGTCTTGTGCATGGGACCAGGAGTCCGGAACCGTATCGCCTAAAATTTTGTCGAACCATAAAACACGACCTAAGGAACAATAGTCATCGCCTCGTCATGACCGTTCCTCCTTTGTTTGGCATTTTAGGGCTATAAAATTGGAATTCCGCCTGATTTCCAAATTTTTCGTGTGTAATATCTCATGCCTTATGCATGGGCCCAGGCACCAGACCTGGGTCGTCTAAAATTTTTCCGGACCATCAGAAATGACCTAAGGAACAATAGTCACCGCATCGCCATGATTTTTCTCGTTTTTTGCATTTTAGGGCCAAAAAATATGAATTACGCCTGATTCATACATTTTCATGTGCTGTAGCTCATGCCTTCTGCATTGGACTAGCGCTCGCACCCAGATCGCCTAAAATTTTGTTGGACAATTAAAAATGACCAAAGAAACAACAGTCACCATCTCGTCATGATCGTTCCTCTTTTTTGGCGTTTTAGCCCATGAAATTGGAATTCCACCTGATTCTCATATTTTCATGTGTTATAACCCAGGCCTTCTACATGGGCCCGGGCGCCCTCTGCCTTGATCATCTAAAATTTTGTCGAACCATCAAAAACGACTAAGGAACAATAGTCACCGACTCGCCATGTTCATTCCTCTTTTTTGGCGTTTTAGGGCCAAATATTTGGAATCCGCTCAATTCCCAATTTTTCGTGTGCTATAGCCCATTCCTTATACATAAGCCTAGGTTCCCAGACCCGAATTATCCAAAAAATTTGTCGGACCATCAAAAATGACCTAAGGAACAATAGTCATAACTACATCATGATCTTTACTCGATTGTTGGCATTTAAGGGTTATAAAACTAGAATTTCACTCGATTCCCAGGTTTTATATTCTATAGCTCACGCCTTCTGCATGGGCCCGGCCTCCGGACCCCGATAACCTAAAATTTTGTCAGACCAATAAAATGACCTAAGGAACAATAGTCACTGTCTCGCTATGACCGTTTCTTATTTTTTGTCGTTTTAGGGTCATAAAACTAAAACTCCACCCGATTTCTAGATTTTCGTATTTTATAGCCCATGCTTTCTACATGGCTCGGCCACCTGCACCTGGATCACCTAGAAGTATGGCAGCCTATCAAATACGACCTAAGGAACAATAGACAGTGCCTCATCATGATCGTTACTCATTTTTAGCATTTTAGGGCCATAAACTAGAATTCTGCCTGATTCTAAGATTGTTGTGTGTTGTAGCCCACGCCTTCTGCATGGGTCTGGGCACCGGGACTCGGATCTCCTAAAATTTTGTCGGACCATAAAAATGACATAAGAAACAACAGTCACTGCCATGCCATGACCGTTACTCATTTTTTGGTATTTTAGAGTTATAAAACTGGAATTCCACACGATTCCCGTATTTTTGTGCGTTGTATCCCATGCCTTCTATATGGGCCTGGGCGCCCGAACCAAGATCGCCTAAAATTTTGTTGAACCATCAATTATGACCTAAGTCATGATTGTTACTCATTTTTGGTTTTAGGGCCATAGAACTAAAATTCCACCCGATTTCAAGATTTTCGTGTCTTCTGCATGGGCCTGGGCGCCGTGACCCGAATGGCCTAAAATGTTTTTGAACCATCAATAATAACCTAAGGAACAATAGCCACTGTCGCGCCATGGCCGTTCTTCGTTTTTTAGTGTTTTAGGGCCATAAAACTGAAATTCCGTCAGATTCTCAGATTTTCGTGTGCTATAATAGCCCACGCCTTTTTCATGGACCCGAGCATTTAGACACGAATCACCTAAAGTTTTGTCAGACCATCAAAAATGACCTAAGGGTTTATAGTCACCACCTCGCCATGATCGTTCTTCATTTTTTGGCATTTTAGGCCATGAAATTGGAATTCAGTCTGATTCTCAAATTTTCGTGTGCTATAGCCCACGCCTTCTGCATGGACCTAGGTACGAGATCCGGTTCGCCTCAAATATTGTCGGATCATCAAAAATGACTTAAAGAACAATAGTCACTACCTCGCCAAGACCGTTTCTCATTGTTTGACGGTTTAGGGCCATAAAATTGGAATTTCGCCCGATTTCCAAATTTTCTAATGCAATAGCCTATGTCTTTTGCATAAACTCGGGCGCCAAGACCCGAATCGCCTAAATAGTATTGAGAAATCAACAGAAATAAGACCGAGAAGGAGTTTGAGGTTAATATGTATGGAATCGTTGCAAAAATTCAGATGAAAAGAGAGAGTGGAGCTTCGTTCGACGACGAAAATGGCGAAAGATTGCAGACGAGGAAAGTTTGCTCTTTCTAAAATAGGAAGAAAAACGAAATGTTTATCTTGCTGTGTTCTGTCTATGATCAATAAATGCAGACATAAATAAGAGCCTGTTTGGCTTAGTTGATTTGAAGTAGCTAATAAACATTAGATGTTGAAAAACACTTTTAAGTGCTGAAATTGATTTAATAAATAAGCAGTTACGTGTTAGGTACAAGTGCTGAAATTGATAATAAGTTTCTATAAGGGCATAATTTCTTCAAATTTTTTGATTCCAGATCGATTCAAATACAAAATATTCTATTCGTCATTTTATTTTAAATACAAATGTGCTTAGATAAGATAATTCTTATAATAAATATAATTTATTTTATGATAAGCATATAATCATAAGTTATAATAATTAATAAATTGACAAAAGTTTCTCAGTAAAAAATAAACCTAAATAGGACAAATTATTTGAAGAGAAACAAACATTTTCTTCATCACCATAACACGTAGAAAGCAATACACCAAAAATTTGATATGTCCTAATTTATTACATACAGTTCAAAGATAAATACACAATCACATAGATATAAGTACGCAAAGGAATAGAGAATTTGCTTATCTTAAATAGTCAATGAGAATTGCAGACTTGAAGAAGTGGGGGGAGGGGAGTTAGGTTGAATACTTGTGGCAGTGAGTATCGATGTAGTAGTTTTGTTCTAAAAAGAAATATTTTAAGGATAAAATAGTAAATATTTTGATCAAACTTAAAGTGCTTATAAGCTAAAAATTTATAAGCTGAGGGTGACCGGCTTTTGTCTTATTTTTGACTTATAAGCACTTGGCTCATAAACACTTTTAACTTTACCAAACGTGTAAATAAGCCGAAAAGTGCTTATAAACTAATTTGACCAGCTTATATGCTTAGATTGCGACTATCTAGCATCCATTATTGTTTTAACTTATGACGTTATTACTAAAGCAGTTTACCTACCATCTATCTTGATGGTGACTAATTATCTATTTAAACTTAAATTAACTAAGCTTAAAGTGTATATACAGAATAAATTACTCTTAATCTTTAGTTCACAAGAAATTAGTCTTGTAGTGCTCACCAAACTTGAGTCAAAGAAACTTGCAATGTTATGCTAAGAAAATTATGAAATGGATAAAACAGTGTATAACTAATATTTGTATTAGTTATATATTATATTTGGTATTATTTTATGTATAAATAGTGCATAAAAAACAATAACATTAGTAATACCAAAGCTATTAATGCATGCGTTAGTATGGCTAAAGATAAAATTGTTCTTAAAGTCCCATAAAATTAGAGAATATGGAGGACATTTATGTAAACAACTATTTTTCTTAAAAATTATGTAATGCATTATAATTTTTAATACAACACACCAAACAGTAGATAAGAAATAGTATTTGTACAACTAATACTTGCATTACTAAGCCATACATTACTAATCTCTGCATTATTTCGCACTATTCTTATACACCGTAGCAAACAACCCCTTATTTTATTCTTTTAACTTCTGTTATGTAATTAATATATACTGAATTACCACTATATGTGAATTATATGACTAATGCTTTTGGAAACCATGCACATTAAAAAAAAAAATCCAAAACGGGCTTTTGCAAAATACCTAGAAGTTGCATAAATATTTTATAAATAAACTAGAAGAAAATTCTATTGGACCTAAGCATATTAATTTATGGTTGTCCAATATCTCAATTATGCAAAATAAGACTAAGACAGTGCTAATAAGGATTTGCTTAATAATTTATTAATTTCAGATGTTTGATTATCAAAATTTATTTTACGTTTAATTTGATTAATTTTTAAAATAAATGAGAGATTAATTACTTTTACATTAATGCAATATTCTTAACAATATTGGTTTTTTTCTTCTTCACAATAACAGATTACATCATTTGTATTAGAATAAAAATTTAATTTGTGGTAGATGAATTCTCTAATACTAGACGATGAGAGACGATTATAAAACATTTAGGACATTTAAATTATAAAAACAAGTCCATAAATTGTAAGGCAAAATTTAGAGAAAATTTACATAAGAAATTAAGAGAGAGGATTTAGATTGAACCCCCCCCCCC